CAACTTGAATTATTAATACATGTAATGTTTTAGGAACTAATGGACTTGATATTCATATTCATTGCAATTGTTGATTAATTTATTCCTACTAGTAGTCTTGAAATTCTGAATATTAAGTACTCTTTCTTTCTTTCGTGCTGGAAATTAAGAATTTACTACATGTAAGACGAAGTATAGAAATAATGTTCATTAAATCTACATTGAGATATGGTAAAATCGATTTTCCACTGAATATTTAATGTAAATTTTGTCCGAATATTATTATATAATGAAGATTCTTTCAAAAATATCAAAGTTTTTAATTAAAGTTTTTGAAAACTTGTTAGCGTCTTACACATTAGCGGAGAGAAAAATTGCATCTTTCCTACTTGAGTGGCACGAGATTTGAATACTTGGAACCGGAATTTCGACAAAATTAAATTTAATATGCCACTCGAAGACAACTCGAAAGCCATTCAATTCTTACCTATACGATTATCTGATTTGCGTAAAAAAGCAGAAAGATGAAGGAAAATTTCATTGAAGGTATAGTCCGGCAAATGAATAAAGGCCAAAAGACAAGAGAGCATAGCGACTTATATTCGAGTAAATAACAACGGCGAATTACAGATAAATATAAATTTAATAATGATTAAGCGACGTGAATTTGATGAGAAAATTACAGAAATTCCATCTTGCAATCAGCTCCAACGATTGTTTAACCTTATCGCGCAAACGGAAATTCCACATAGGATAGGGTATACGTTGCGTAACTGTTACTCGCGGGAGTGATCAGGATTCCATAAACCAAAACTATATCGCGAGCCCCTATGCCCGATCTCTCTTCATAACATACCCTCGACGAATAATGGATTTATGGCGAACGCGTTAGACTTGAAATACGCGCATTACAGATTAACATCACTGCCATGAAATCGTGTGTCTAATGCACAAAGCTCATTACGATTTGACAATATTCATTGATATTGTATGTATAATAGATTATTATAAATCTGTTAAAATATGATTTTATATTCGGGTATGTTTAAAAGAGGATTAGTTGCTATCATATTTTCCTTATTTGTGTTTATACGTGATTAAGATATAGAAAGATAGAAAAAAAGTTAGTTGGACTTATCGATGGATTTAAGAACCTGATATAAATAACTTGAGAACTGTAATATAATTTGGCGTAGTTTACTGCGTATCAATTATCGATGGCAAATCAATATTCATCTAAGTAATTAACGTCCAATGAAGAGATAATGATTCGTTATTTGTTCTCTTTTACGAAGAACTCATTCTGATTCCTTATCATTGAATAGATTAGCTTTCGAAAAACGCAAATTCATGTCTCTTTATGCAAACTGATCAAAAGTATAAGCTTTATTAAGAAAAGCATTTTATTTGAAGATATATATTGGCGTGAATATAAATGAGACGATAACAATGATTTTATCGCTGCAAATTTTTTTGACGACATTATGAAATTTAGTCTCCGAGGGAGACGCGTTATATGTATGTTAATTTGCGAGAAGTAACGTTGAGTAATGGAGAAAACTAGTAACTGTCACTCTGACTCTTGTAACAATGGACAGTAAGACAGGCTTTCAATGGAACTTTTCTGTTCGTCTAATTGTCCTAACGGCTGACCTCTACGGCTGTCCGCGCTCCCTTACCACCCTTTCGTTTCGTATCTTTGGGGCAGTTCGCTCCTCGTTTTTACATAATAATTAATGCTAATACACACAGCACATTATAAATGATATACAGTAATATATATAATATTTTTCATTATCTTTTAGCGTCATAAATATTCAGAGAGCTGTATTTTAATACCATATTTTAATCACACTTATTTAATATTAAATATGTCTTCAATATCAATTTATAATTATGAATTTTATCTTTGAGATAAATAAAATTCGGAATTACATACAGTGTTTAATATGTAATTATTTATATATCATAGTTACATTTGTGATATCATATAATACTCTTATATTTATATTAAGCATATTTTCTAAAAAATAATTTCTCCAAAATATTCTCCCAATATTAAAATCGATAAACAAAGTTCAGATGAATTTAGTGCAAAGTACAGTATTTAAGATATAAGAATAATATATAATCAGAATATCATAAAATAATGTTCTATTTTTGAATATATTTTATAATTTTCCAAAAATTCCTTTTAACAACAATTATCTAAAAATTCTATGATACAAAATTTATCTCAATCCATGCTTTTCATGTTAATTACGTAGTCCAATAACCCATGCAAAGTTATCGTTGATTCCTGATCGGCACAGCTCACTGTGGCTCGTTAAGACGACTAAAGTCGGCTTTCGGTCTCGGATTTCCGAAGCATATACCCGGATAATTAATGGCAAGCGCATCCTACGCGAGATGGTGATAGGACTGTGCGAGTGCGTCTCGGTCAAGACAGGTGCCACACCGGGAATCGCTGAGTCAGTCCCGCGATCGGGGCCAGTCTGGTCGAATGAATAATGCAAGTGCACTTGCATCCCGGCGTCCGATCATGCCTATGTAGGAAGCAAGGTGAAGTCGTCGGGGCGCTCCACCTCGTCGTATTATCCGTTTATCTGTGCGAGTGCATACATAGATACGCAGAACGCATCGAGTACGCACACGAATGGTCCAGGACCAAGGAAGAACGAATGCGTTCAGAGAGAGAAAAAAAGAGAGAGAAAGAGAAAGCTCTTCGTACATAGGCATAAACTCCCTAATATATCAAAATGAAAAACTCGCATTTGTTGGTCATCGGACTTTCTAGCATTTTCCAAATTCATTCAGAGAGAACAGCAGTATGTGATTTGCAGTAAATTTACATTAAACATGGAGACGAGTAGTACTTGTACACGTTTGCGCGGGCAAACGTGCGAGTAGATGTTTATTTAAAGGTCGCTTAGCAAGTAAAACTTTAAATAGAATATTAAATAAAGCACTTTTTAAACTAACCAGCTAATTGATAACTATACCATAGACGATTATGACCGGATACACACATAATATATGTATGTATGTATGTATGTATCCAGTTGTCAATTAATCGGTTATTTCAAAAAGTGCTTTATATATGTATATGTTTTGAAATCTCGAATTACATTTTATCAATGTATGATAAAAAATCTAATAAATATATATATATCTATAAATCTAAATACGTTTTTCATTTGGAGTCTGTCAGACCTCAAGTGAAAAATGTATTTAAATTAATGTATCTTATAAAACTAATTAAATACTTATTTTTAATCAAATTAATTGTTCCCATTATTTTGTTTTTATAAATATTTTTAACAACAATAATTACTGTTAAGAATATAATATGCAATGCAATGTTCTTCTTCTGACATAGATGATTTATGTATATTACTTATTCGATATATGATATTCTTGACAAATGTTGTCAGGTGTGTGTATGTGTGTGTGTGTGTGTGTGTGTGTGTGAGTTATTTCGAAATGCATAATCGACACTGTAGTCTCTCTGCGAGAATTTCACGGCTGTTATAGCCGATATTCTGTCACCGTGTATCCACCAATTGACTTAATGATCCGAGTGAATCTATTCTCGATGCAGGACCTAAGTGCATACACGAGGTAACATATTGGATGCTCACACGGTTAACAAGCATCTGAGCAAACAGTCTCTACAACAGCCTTGACAAAGCAGCTGTGACCCTTGCAATTGGAAAGCTTTACCATTTCGGAAATGCAAATGTGAAAGATCAGAATACGCGTTAAGTTCTTTAAGAAATAATCTTCTTCATATATGATTTAATAAAACATGAAATGCAAATCCGTGAATGTAATATTATTAATACCGATAAACGTTACAATTCACAATACACGTAATTATATTCTATATTTATTCGCAACTTGGAAAGACAAAAATTGGTTTTTTCTACACTGGTTAAATTTTATTAGTGTCTTCATATAAAAATTAGCATATCATTACTGAGGCATTTTTAATTATGTTTAGTATGTGTAAAATATATATTTTAACGCAACGATAAGTTTAAATATTTGGCAGTAAATGTATGATGATTATCGTTGTCTTCATTAAAAATATATTCTGAGATATGTGGGTATGTATATATGTGCGATAAGTATATGTACATTGCACGATTATTACATTAGAGTATAAATGATCGTTTATTATAGAATTTCTCATGATTCTATTATAAAATCTGTATCAAATATCTTGTATAACGATTCGCCATTAAAAATAATAATAATTATCAGTATCTAAAAAGATATCAATTTTATAATAAAAGTCTTATACCGTAAATTCTACTAATGACGAAAATAAAATAAGATAATTGAGATATGATGCTGGTGGGGGTTTCGTAATATTTGAGCGATAAAAATATTGATTTAGTATACTGGAAACACTTGTGCGTAATCTACCCTATGAATCAGATGCCAGAATAGAAGTGTGCGCATGTGCACGTGAATAATGTTTGTAATATCTTGGGCTCTTTTAATTATAGATCTAATTACAATAACTACCAATTATACAAAGAAAATATCGATCTATGTGCTTATGTCAATATTTGCTAAATGCTCTCTCTCTCTTTAAAAGGTAGCAAAATTAATTTAATTTCTTTTATTTTTATATTTGATTATTAACATATAATTATTAACATAAGTCTTAAAAATTGTAATCCTTACGCGCGCACGGGTAAAATAATATAAAATTATTGATATTGTATATAATATTGAAATTGTGCAATAGATAATAGAAACGTGATACATAATCTGACGAAATCGCTATATACAGATTTTATTAAAAATTGTATTGTTTAAATTTTGTTTAACAGAGCTTAACTGTCTCACACACACATATGTTATGACGTGATCATATTGATCAAAATAACTTTTTCGTAGAATATATCTTTCCAGAACAAGGTGATGATATCAACGATGTAATCATGATAAGCTACGCGATAAGCGATTATTGCGCATATTTAAGCGCCGAACGTTCGTTGCGTCGACAGAACTCGAGTAGCCGAGTAACCTACAGTACTCACGCGATTTTCGAGTGCGGAATAAGCCAAAATGTCGGCACAAAAGTACATGATCGGTCTGACCTTCCTAATCGCTGTTCTGCTGGCTATCAACACCGTACCCGCTAGTGGTGCCATCGATCAGCACGCTACCAACAAATCGAACCATCTGATTGTCGGCAGCAGGGTGCCCGGTGATAGACTCGTATTCCGGCAGGGTATTTTCAAGAACTCTTCCTGGATGAAGGTCGTAATTGTCGAACAGACCTTCAATGTCTCGACATGGCAACGCATCAGTTTGCTTCAATCGCTGGATCAGAAGACAAACGGCAACGGCGCTTCTGCCAGTATTCTGAGAGGTGGACCCGGCTTTAACAACGTTACCCTTAGGTTCAAGAGCCAGAGAGGTCACAGCATTAACCACGTCGTTGAGCTTTACGCATATTAATCTTGATGGAAGCAGCTATTATTACGATTGGTACGATGACTCTTGAACACTATCACGCATACACACACAGAATAGAAAAGTAAAACAATTAATTATGAAGACAACTATGTCAACCTCATATATCCTGTAAACTATTTATTCTTACAACTAAAAATGTCTCTCTGCATATTCTTGTTATTCATTTTCTTTTTTAGTCTCTTCAATCGTTTGATATTTTATATTCATTAAATATATATATATATCAGCGTAATTAGCAAATGTATACTTTCTTTCAAATATCTAATAGACTTATAATCTATATAGACTTATAATCAAAAAAACCATATAGAATTATATAAAATATGTATATGTTATTTTTGTAGAAAATTATAACATATATAATATAAAAACATAATATAGCAATAAAATAAAATTTATCTTCTACAAAGTGATTTTCAACCTGGAATTATGAAAATTTTATTTTTTTCCTGTTTGTAAAGAAAACACATTGGAAAATTTACCTTTATTACACACCTCTATTTTCTCTAATTATATTTTCACTGTCATCGGCGGTACTCTCGATATAAGATGAATAGACGTGACGATGCGAGCGCTGAGAAAAGAATCTGGAGGAAGTGTCGATAATAATGCAATTAGCGCTGCGAAGCGAAATGCGACAACGATCCGGAATAAAAACGGACCGCGTAATTAATGCAAATGTATACTTTCTTTCAAATATCTAATAGACTTATAATCTATATAGACTTATAATCAAAAAAACCATATAGAATTATATAAAATATGTATATGTTATTTTTGTAGAAAATTATAACATATATAATATAAAAACATAATATAGCAATAAAATAAAATTTATCTTCTACAAAGTGATTTTCAACCTGGAATTATGAAAATTTTATTTTTTTCCTGTTTGTAAAGAAAACACATTGGAAAATTTACCTTTATTACACACCTCTATTTTCTCTAATTATATTTTCACTGTCATCGGCGGTACTCTCGATATAAGATGAATAGACGTGACGATGCGAGCGCTGAGAAAAGAATCTGGAGGAAGTGTCGATAATAATGCAATTAGCGCTGCGAAGCGAAATGCGACAACGATCCGGAATAAAAACGGACCGCGAAGAATCTACTTGCGGAATGTCTTTCTTGTATGCGCTAATCAAGCATCCCCTCTCCGTCTGTTTCTCCTCGAGACTCGATAATTTCCCCCTTTTTTTTTTCCTTTCCACCTCGAAGTGGAATCTTCGTTGCCGGAGTTTGGGGGAATCGTCTCCGAAGAACTGTGCGACGCGGTTTGGGCGGGGGAAAGGAGAGAGAATACGGGGATGCGGAGAGGAACATCTTCTATTTCCGAGGCTTACGTACAAAGTACGTTTCGCGCATGCATGCATGGCGGCACGAAGTAGGAACAACCGACTGGAAAATTGTTGTCGCTTCGTGGCGCATTCTAACACGGGGGTATCCCGGGAGCGGAGGAACTTCGAATCGAGTTGAGGACCACTGGAAATTGGTGGCGGTATCTCAAGCTTGCGAACGACCATTTCGTTAACCTACTTATTCTATCCTCCCCGTGTTCCCCAGTCCTCGCGCTGCTCGCGAAGCCACCTCGGAATATCTAGTTTGTCCGCAGTTTCCGTTTCTGAAAACTAAGCGCGGAAGGGAGAAGGCGTAATTCGTGGTTCTACATTGATGGCGGGCTCTTCATTGATTACGTTTTAATAGATTTTAATGGCCTGGGGAGAATGGCTATATACGCCGATCGGTGGTGCGATGTGAATCACTCTCGACGATCCTCTGTTTCCGATGTATAAGCGAAGTTATCAGCTACTTCGAATACTCGAAACGTATAGAGCACACCACCATGCCGAGTACCGTCACGCTGTCCTAGTTCTGTCACGAACGAAGACAGAATGCGAAGGGATTATATTTGTGGACTAGACAGAAGCATGTGCAATTTTTATATGTGAAAATTGAGGTCGGGACAAGATTATAAACATAACATCCGAGCAATTTTGTTTATTAAAAAACGTGTTGCTCTCTTGCAGAGAAATATGTTTTATAGAAATTATTGATTTGCGTATTTTATATAAATTTGCTTGAATTTTTTAAAAAATTACACTTTTAATAATAGATTGAAATTTATATTTTAATAATAGATTTATACGAGCAGATAAAGACGGTGAATATCATATGTATATATCATACAAACAGTAGCCAGATGTTTAGCGATTGCGATGTTATAAAACATTGATAAGCATGTTTATACTTTGTACATGTTACGATACACGTATACGATATACGATATACGTATGTATATGTTATATATGACACGTCAGAAAATAGCTATAATCTTCCCTAAACATTGCTTGATATTTTTAACCGTATCAATAATAAGGGCCGCTTTTTTATCGTCAATTAAAGAGAAATAAAGTTTGATGGCATCGTGCCTGTAATCGTGAATGATGCATCGTATCACATTCATGTCAAGATTGACGCGTCTATTTATAAAATACGAAGAGTCTAGCGAATCTATAACTAGTTTAGAAGAGTTACGACGCTTTGAACTTTTTCTAGCGCGAATCAGTATTTAGAATTCTAAACATGGCACGCAGGTCTGCATTAGCGTTATGTCGCGGTTATTCTGATAAGAAAAACGAGGTCTAAGATGCTATATCCGGATACTCGAGAGTATAAAATCGGATTGTCCTGGGAAACGTGACATATGGGATGGTGCATCAGACAAGTGGCATTATTTCCGTTGTAATAACATAAAAATAGAAACGACTTATAAACGAACGCTATATTTATTCTTTGACGTGTATGCAAAATACGCGCACATTTGTCGATCGATGACTCTAGAGTCTAGAGCGCCGTTTCAAGTACTGCCACATCCTCTTTCGTCGCAATGTCGATCGACACTGAGTCATCGTCGTGTATGTTACTTTGATATACATAAGTAGAGAGCACGCGTATCTCATTCTTATTCTCTTTATAAATTAAAACTCTTGAAATGTATTTTTTTCTTTTTTTTTTTTAGGAGAAGTTCTACTGTATATGTGTAGCTACGTTATAAAATTCGACTTGGGTAAACGTTAAAATCATTTAAAGCTCCGCTTTGCATAACGTTTTTATTAAAGCATGTTGAGGATTCTCTCTTATGTATTTTCGAATAAAATTCTACATAGAAGAATTAAAAAAAAACACACTTTACAATACTTGACTGAATCCGAACCAGGATTATCGTATAATCGATAAACGTCGCAACTCTCCAAGTTGCTCGCGTGTGTGTTTATGAAAATTACATTTATTTTTTCTATCTGAGCGTTATGTTTATGAGTGATAAGGAGAGTTCGTGCGTCGTAAAACGCGCGTACATAAAAAAAACATAGTTGACCGCATCAACCTGTCGCGCACGCGTTCGGTTATTGCTTATAAAGTTGCGCGACTGTGACGAACATGTGTACGAAAACCAGGATTGGATGGACAACCCGATGACAGGGACCGTGCGGGAACGAATGAAAGCGTGTTTGCATGAGGATGCCTACAAAAGAGCCGCCCGTCAATCCGAAACCGCAGCGGCCATTATCGGGCAATTTTAAACGAAACGCCGTAGTGTTACGACTCACGCGCTTTAGATTCTGCAGTCGTCAAACAAAGCAACAGCATCCCGATGCGGTTCA